CACACACACACACACACACACACACACACACACACACACACACAAAGGGTCACGTTAGCGCGCAACCAGGTGCGCAAACGGAGGCTTGTATTTACGCTCACACACACACACACACACGCATGGCGCGTTAAAGGCTTAAAATTCTTTCATTTTCTAACTTTTAACATGAAAAAATACGATTTTAATGATGTTTAATYCTTTTATATTTAATCCAGAATGCATATTGTGTCATTCTAGATTTCTTTTTTAAAGGGTTTCTACTCAAATAAACCAATTAGTGACATGTAACCTTAACGCCCATTAAACCATCCAATCACACACCAATCAAGTTAGGATGAATTTGCCCCCAAATCTTTTTTTCCCTTCTTCTTCTCTACACACAGGAAAAAAGACTCAATGCATTCGTTTAAAAAGGCATTCATGTGGATCTTGTAATAATAGGATGTTACGCACAGCCTACTACCGTCATGGTGCATGCGTAATTTGTCTACATGTCCTTGGACGCATTCATGAATTTTCATGCCACGGTGGGACAAACAGACAGAACAGAACGAGACGAGACAAAACTCGAGCAGAAAAAAAACATGGGCAAGCATCAGCCGTGTTCCCACCCCGGAGAAGATGCTTGTAAAAAGGCCGAATAACCGCTAAAAGCAAAAGGTTATTCCGCCCCAGGGAAGGAGGAGGAGAAGGCGCCAAGAAGAAGAAGAAGAAGAAGTCGCTTTGCTTCGGTTTCCCGGAGTTCTTGAAATCTTTTGTTTCACAGATTGAAGGGGAAAACCTCGGGGAGGGAAAACAAAAAGAGGAAACCAAGAAAAATAAAAGCGTGGGGAAGGGAAAAGTTGGTTAAGTCCACTATTTGAGCAGCAAGTCCTCAAAGCAGATAAGTCAGAGGAGAGCGGGCGCCGCATCCACAGAGAGAGGAGTCAGGGACAACAACAGGAGGGAGACAGAGGGGGGGACTTCTTGTTGCTCACGTTCATTCGCTTCATTTCGGGGCTTCCGGTAATATCCAAGCGTGGAAACAGGCGGGTAAAAACGCCCATTAGAGTGGCCGTGACCGAGAGGCGGCGGCGGCGGGAGACGGTAAAAAGGACGCCGTGAGTCGCTGCGCTCGCCGCGGCATCCTGCTGCTTCTGCGAGCCGAACTGAGGCGCTCCGAGAGCCGGAGGAATATAAAGCCTGCGGTGTGAGCGCGCGACTTCCGTTTTGGATTTTTCAAAATAAAACATCGTTTTAAAGCTGAAAACGAGTCAGGCGCGCTACTGTTTAGGAATTCACGCATAGATTGAATATAAAAATAATAACAATTAAAATCATGTTATTGTTGAGTGGTTATTTTTTAAGCTGCTTTCTGTCTACTCACCCCCAGACAGCGGTCGGTGAAGTGAAGCTTTTACGCTGAAATCGCTTTATTTCCGGTCCATGCTCCAGGTTCCAGCGTCCGACTTGATGAAGGAGCCGCAGAGATGCTGAGGATGTTCCTCCTCCTCCTCCCAGTCACCTCGTCTCCGGTGGAGGCTGCTCACCCAGCTCCTATTAGAATATGTAATGGACCGCCAAGTCAGCATTATTGTCCTAAATGACGTTACGACGGTTTCAAATCTTCCACCTAACAAGCCATTAAAGTTGTTATCTTCATTCCCATTTAGCAAACGTCGAATAAAGTTGAAAGCAGGTTAAACTCTCATAAAATTTCCTTTATGCGGTTGTTTCCCTCTAAAATTAACTTGAAAGTCAGCCATTTTTTTGATAAAAGTAGCAATGAAGCTTATCTCATATCCAATTTCCACACAGCTTTTGAAGTCCACAAACAATTATCATAGCCTACATTGGGAAATAAGGGTGCTGAGGGTGCTGCAGCAACCCATGATTGATGCTAGTATGCATATTCAAATATACAGTTAAAAATCATAAAAATATGAATAAAATCGTTTTTAATAATGTTGCACATATTTAAATTTTTATAATATTTGTATTATATTGTCTTCTTTTGCTTTTTCCTTTATTATAAGTCGCCACAGCAAATCAACTCATAGAAATGGCACTTTTGCTTGTTTGAGCCATAAATTTAAAAAAAAATACATTTTAATATTTCTAAGGACATACGAGAGACTTTATTTCTGTGTTAGTAAAGCTGTAACTCAAAACTTATTGCATTCTAAGATGTTTTAAACAGTGAAAATTGTAGTTTTACTTTTTATTATAAGGGCTCCACGAGTGTCCCTTTTCATGGACGGAGGGCACAGCAAAGAAGAAGAAAGAGGAGGGGTTTGGAATTAATTGCTTTATCGATAAACGCACCTCTGCTCTGCAGCCTCTGGTTATTCACGCTGGAGGTTTAAGTGCATTGGACTTGTACTAAATGGAATTGATTACAGTGCTGCTCCTGTGAGGTGGGGGGAAACGCTGAGGCATATATTTTTTATATTCAGTCTCAGCCTTCAAGCTTTTCTCTGAATCCGAAGAGGAGCACGTCTGAAAACCATCAAGGCTAACATTTGCACTTTTAAATTACGAAAGAAAATGCTAAAAGTCAGGGCAACCGTATAAATAATACCCTCAAAGTTCATATTTTTATCCACATTTCGGATTCATACATATCCAGGATGTAAACAATAGAAAAGGTAAAAAAAACAACAAACAGTAACAGTCCCAGTAGGCTACCACTATATAACATACAGGACTAACTTAGACTGTGCTGCGTAAATAAACATGAATGTATTTAAGCAAAATAAAATAAAAAGACTCACTGCTGTAGGTCTTGATGATAATTTTGGACCCTGCAGGCTCATACCGACCGATCCATTCAAGTCACACACCAGAATAAAACGGAGGCTCCGGAAAAGCTCAACTGGAGCAGCGGGGAGCGGAGCTGTGTTCCCAGCGGTGCTATGACCTTTCCTTACCTTGATTGTTCCGCTTCCTCTCATCAGATGGTTAACTGTGAGTGCACCTACCCATATATGCACTGCAGTCCCTTTTTTAAATGATTTTCTTTCATAATGCTGGATGTGATGATGTCATTTGGCAATCTGTGGTTTATTGTGCTCAAAAGGTCCAAGTTTTCACCTGCCAGGGAAAGACGATTATGATTTTGCTTTTGTCTGTTGGTAACATACCTCACTTGGATGAATTGCAAAGAAACTCAGAAATGATCACTGGATGCAGGGGTATCAGTGGGGGAGGGGGACAATGGCCACCCCTAAAAACAGCTTTTCTTGGAACTGGCCCCTCTTGGCCAGAC